GATTTAAGGTCCTTGGATGCACACTTTGAAGCCACTAGCAAGAGGCTTTGAAACACACAGACAGATGTTCCAATAACTAAGTAACCAATTATGCAATTAAATTGGATGTATAATTACTACAATTATGTGCGCAAGGCAGGAAACAGTGTGGCCAGCCGCATGCATTTAGGTGTGAAAAGGTGAACATGGATGAGAACTGTAACCAGGCATTTTGCACACGTAACTGCACGACTGATGGGTGTGAGAGGAAGGACGGCCTTGTGGTGCAGGTACCAGCTGAGAGCTCTGAGCTCAACTCTCTATTCTCCATTCTGCCACAGACTCCACCCATGTCTGGGGGCAAACCATTCACTCTTGTGCCTTAGCATCCTGCCTGTAGCATGGGGATATCAGCACTGCTCTAGCTCATGGGCGTGTTGCACGGTAAGTTCAATAATGGTTGCATAGTGCTGCAGCCCATATAAGTACAGATAAAAAGCGTGATCCTAGAAGGCAGCATCAGAGGCCCCTACTCTAGGCACTGAAATGGGAAAGCAAGGGCTTGTGTTTAAAATCCAGGACTGAGGGCCAGGGCAGCCAAGTTTTCTGGCTTTGAGCAAGGGATTTTCGGTGACCGTGACCGAGAAAGTATCTGTTTTTTGCCTTAGTTTCCATTCTCTGTAATAAGGATGTTACTTCCATAGTTCACAGTCCTGTTGGAAGGTTAATTTAGTGTGTATGAAGGGCTTTAAGCTTTGGATGGGTTGGAGTGGGTGCTATTATTTTATAGAGTAGGCAAAGGTTGGCATAGTAGATACAATGGTGAATGCCTGTAATGGTGGGCCCCTTCTTTCAGCTCAAGGGCTTTGCCTTCTGCTTTTGGTGTTGTAGACTCTGGATTTGACACACCTCCCTCCTCCATGCATGTCCATCAAGTCAGTATGTGTGTGATATATGACAAAAGTACCTGTGAAGAGTGACAAGCTTTTATTGTGCGTGTGGAGAGGGTGTTTGCGGTTTTTTAAATTTTGTTTTACTTTTCAGGACCCTAAATGGAGAAGGGCAACCCAATTCACATCTCACTCCCATGGGGACAGTTTGTAATACAACAGTCCTTGTAGGTGTTGCTACTTTGCTGTGGGCTTGCTAAAAAAAGGGGGGCTTTATCTAAGCTCCCAGCTGCAATGATCAGTTAAAGGCAATTTATCAGAGTAATGATTTATTGTTAGCAAATAGAAATAGCCTAGGCATGTAGAAAAACAGCTCCTCACCCTTCAGCAAAAGTGCTTTAGACAAACTGGAGTGAAGGTTTCCAGCTTTGACTCATTGGTTTAATGGCAGCTGAGCACAGGGATCGATAGGTTGAGTAAACTTTGAAATGAGAATGCAGGATCAGAAATACTGGGTGTCAGTGTTTTTTGGCCTTAGTTTCCATTCTCTGCAAGAAGGATGTTACTTCCATAGTTCACAGTCATGTTGGAAGGTTGCATTAATTTAGCATCCTCAAAGGGCTTTGTGCTCCTTGGATGGGTTGGAGTGGATGGTATTATTTTATGGCATAGGTAAGTTGGCATAGGAGATACAATAGTGAATGCCTGGAATAGTGGGTCTCTGTTATACAGCCCTCAATAATAGAGACCTACCATTCTACTTCTGGGGGAGCATTTTGCTTTTCTCATGAAGAAAGAACACAACAGAGAAATGAGATTATGGCTGGTCCCATCTCCTGCTACACATGATGATTTGCTAGTGGTTGTAGAGTAGCTTCTTCAGACATCCTCCGTCTCCTCATTCATAAACATCAATATCATAAGTCCATTGTCCTGCTACAGTGTGCATGCATGTGTGTGTGTGTGTGTGTGTGTGTGTGTGTGTACACTGCACAGTTACTTTCAGTGTACCCTGAGGCAATTTCCAGGATCCTTTCTAGCTTTACCATCACCATTGGTATCAAGAGTTTTGTCAGTGATGCACGAGGAAGCCTATTGTGTTACTTCTCCATCACAATTACCATGTCATTTCTCTTTCTGGAAACAGGTGTTTTGGAGAAAGTGAGCTTTCATGCCCACTGTTGCTGTCCATGGTCCTTAGCATGAAGCAAGCTGCAGCTTTAGTGAGGCACCTAATACTAACAACAGGACATTTGCAAATGTGTAACGGCATGGACCGCCACACAGTGGCGGCACACCTGTGACAGCACAGTACAGTAAAAGCACATTACTAGAGTCTGTGTGGACACAAAATATGTATCTGCAGCCATCCATGGATATAAAGCAGATACCCACATCTTTGCAGCAATCTAGATATAAAATTTGGATCTGCATCTATCCATGATCTACAAACATGGTCCATTAATATAAAGTAGATATATAGATTTGCAGGGTTCTACACATTAATATGGTAAATTTGATACCACGTGGCAGGCATGCTTCACATTTTTCAAATTATTTTTTGAAGATGCTGCAAAGGCTTCTGTAAAATTATTTGTAATTGTAGTAGTATACTGCCTCATAGACAGTCAAATATTTCAAGGCCAGAAAGGACCTTTGTGATCTTCTAAACCAGTGGTTCCCAGACTTGGGCTCATGAACCCTTGCAGGTTCACAAAATGTTGTGGGGGGTTCTCAGAAACGAATCTCTACTGATGGAAGAAAGTGTTTGCATGCCAAACAGGAACCAAGGTCATTGTAACCACTGTAGCAGGCAGTAATGTCCCTTAGTCAATACTAAGCCATTCTCTGTGACATGCTCTTTTGTTCCTGTGGGATGAGAGTGAATCTTCTCATTTACTAATTTGTTTGTTAATTTTCTTGGTGTGTTATTTTTATTTGAACTGTTGTCCTGATCATGGACAACAGTGGCTGAAAACGGAGAGGGTAAAGACATAAGAAAATGAATGTTCCACATAAGCTAGTGTTTTGTCAAGTCCAAAGTGTGGAAAATCTAAATGTAATAATCATGATGGTCTTGGAAGGTCACTTGTGAAGAAAAGAAAATATGTTGCCAATTATATAAAATATGGGCGTATGTGCAATGGTGATCAAGAATGTCCAAAACCACAGTGCATAATTTGTGGAGCTGTTCTAGTAAACAGCAGCTTCAAACCTTCCCTACTTGAGAAAGAATGCACTCTGCACAACTCAACATGCTTGTTGATTTTTTCAAGTGAATATTTGCCAAGTGGAAAAGTGACATTACCAGTTTTATATACAAAGCAAGTACTGATAATGAAAATGCACTTGAAATGTCGTACTGAGTGAGCTACTGCATAGCAAAAGCATCAAAACTCCATACCATAGAAGAAAGCTTGATTGGTCCATGTATAAAAGATGTAGTTCATTGCATGTTCAGAGACAAGCCTGCAAAAAGGATTGACACAGTTCTAAGGATGTAAAGTAGACTAGTTGATTCCCCACCCCCCACTGCCTCTATCAGATAGAGGCAGCAAAGGGGGGGAAAAGGGGGTACTTCAAAAAGGCAGCGCTGCACAGCTGTGTGGTGCTGCCACTTTGAAACACTGCGATGGCGTTCAAAGGGGCTGCGCCACATGGAGCTCTGAGTCAGCAACTGATCCCAGGCTTCATGCGGCATTTCCACAGAACCTGAGATCAGCTGGGGAGTCCCCAGCTGACTCCGGGTTCTGAGGAAATGCTGCGCAGAACCTGTGGTCAGCTGATCCCGGGTTCCTCTGAAATCCTGCGTGGAGCCCAGGATCAGATGGGGAGTCCTCCGCTGACCCCAGGCTCTGTGTGGCATTTCAAATTGGCAGTGTAACATGGATCCCGGGGTCAGCAGGGGACTCCCCAACTGACTGTGGGTTCCGTGTGGCATTTCCCCAGAACCCGGGGTTAGCGGGGGACTCTAATCAACTATTCGACTAGTAAATTAACTGATATTTAAACATTCTTACATAGAGCCTCTATCCAATAATATGTTGTTGCAAAGAATTAATGACATGTCAAGTAACGTAGAGCCCACAATTGTACACAGAATGAAAAATAGTCCATTTTATCCAATACTACTGGATGAATCAACAAATATTGCTAATCAATTTCTCTAGTGTTTGTACGTTATGTGAATGGCTGAAAAAGACTTCTTGTTTTGCCAGTCATTTAAAAAATGCACAACTGGGGAAGACTGCTTCAATCTGACTAATGTATATTTCCAAGAAAAGAGAAATAAATAGGTCTCATTGCCTAGGCATTTGCACTGACAGGGCCACATCAATGATAAGGAAGTATTCCAGATTTGTAGCTCAAACAAAAAAGGTTGCATCAAATGTCTCTTGGATTCATTGCCGTGTCCATAGACAAGTCCTTGAGGTAAAACCCAGGAGCTGAAGGACGTGAGTTTCATAAAATCACAGCCATCAAATTCCAGAATATTTCCCAGACTTTGTGAGAAAATGGGGAGTGTACACACTTATCTGTTGACCCCTATTGAAGTTAGATGGCTCTCGTGGGGTAATATCCTTGTGTACTTGTTTGAGCTTAGAACAGAATTTTGTTTTTTTTCAGCCCCCATCTTTTCCACTAGCTTCATGTATGGAAAATTACGACTGGCTCCTACTTTACTTAGCACATATTTTTCTCATGGGACAATGACCTATATTGATCTTGTCAGGGCCTCAACATAAGAGTTTTCAATGTGCACATCCAAGTTGAATCCATGATAAGGAAGTTGTAGTTCTGGGAAAGATGTTTGGAAAACCATCTAACGGGGTGGTTGTGTACTTTTCATGACTTCCTGGAATAACAAACTATGTTGGACCAGTGCACTAAAATCAATATAATTGCACACCTAAATGGACTTTTCACAAGGTCAGAAAACACTCTCCAGCTATATCATAACCTCTTAGATAATACCACTCTCTGAACATCGATATTGAATACTAAGGAAAACAGTGAAATTGGTTGAGAACACCTGAAATTATAAACTGGAAAGGAGGGTTAGAAGTCTGTCATTGATCATCTTTTGGCTGAGCTTAAGAAACTAATATCCCCTATTGGCAGAAAATGTTCTACAGTTTTGTTACTGTTTTCAACATCGTATTTATATGAGAGAGTATTTTCCTCATATGCACATTTGAAAACCAAATACAGAAGCAGAGTCAATGCCGAACCAGACTTGAGACATCATCTTTCTCCAGTGGTTCCAGACTTTCAAGATGCAGCTCAAAGCAAGTGCATCCATCACGAGCAGATTTAAATTTCAGGACTCCTTATGAGAAATGGAAAGGGACACAGATATCTTTGCTGTTTTTAAACTAAAATAGGCCACTAGTGTTGTTTTTAAAATTATTTATTGCATGCACCAAGATGCCCATTTCAGCAGCATGTGTCTGCCCCAGCAAAGAACTTAGAATGTCCCTGGAACAGTGCAGCCAGGAAGTTGCTCTAGATGGAAACCTTATGGGCACTTTTCATCTATTTCCTTTGCTCTGCCAAAGCAACCCACACCACATCCTGAGCCCACCGCAAAACTTCTGCTCTTTCCTAGCCAAACAAGGAGAAACTTTGGGCCCACCTCCGGATTCTAGACACTTGCTTTTGCAACATGTCTGCACTCACTGAAGTGAGCACATACCTATTTTGAATGTACAAACACAGGCTTTGCCCACATAAAATGGGTGTGAGCCAGCATCCACGGGTGGAAAACAAGCTGCATACAGAAGATCAGCCACACAGATTCAGGAGTAGCAGGAAACAGCCTTCAATGGCTAATTAATTAAAAAAAAACCTTAGCATTTACCACAATCTGTGCTTGCTCCGTGATCTAAACTCCCAGCAGCTCTACTGTGAATATCATCGGGATGGTGGCTTTTCATCCTCTTCTACAATCCTACATGGGCTTTAAGCACCATCTGTTGGATTTTAAAACAGCTTCCTACTTCCAGATGATTCCAACCTCTAGATGTGTGAGGGATGAGAACAGATACTTATAAAACTCAGGAAAGATGCAGGGCTCAAACAACTGGTGACCTGTTTCTTCTGACATTCCAATTCATGGGCTGTGCTCACCCTTTCACACAGAAGAGGAAGCCATGATGTTCAGTACCAGCAACAATAACAGTGTCTTTCTGCATCACATGGGGGCAGGCAGAAAGGGGGCCACTACAGCTGGCTAATGGAAATGACAATCTTTGTTGGGTAAGTTTCAGAGCGAGTGGGGAAAGAAAATTGGCCAAAGGGAAACTATAAAGGAAAGTGCTGAGCTTTTAATCAGCACGGGGAAAAACAGCTGACGGCAGGAGGCCAGAGATGCTTTTCCTGATGCCTGGGACCTGACCAGACTGGGTCTGCACTTCAGTCTCTTTAGCTCAGAGACAGCTGGGAGTAATTGTTATAAAAGAAAGAGCCCTGTGCCGACATCTAAGGGCCTGTGAATCCAAGCAGAGAACCCAAAGGGGAAGACCCAGAAAGAAGTTTAAACACCGATCCAAACCACTGCCTGGCTGTTGACAGTGTATCATTCAGCCATACACACAACTTGGGGGACATTTCCTGTAGGAGACAGCCACCAAAAGTCAGCAGATGTGTGTGCTTGGGTCGAGTCCCTTCCAAGCCGGTGGGAATGTCCCCACAGTTCCATTGTTCCTATGACAGTGGCTTGGACTGAAATGATTTCCGGCAGATTTCATCCAAAGCAGCAAACTTTGGTCCCAGAGTGTCCAAGAAATCCTCAGGCAGTTCATGGTCAGCTGTCAGCAGGGATCCAACAGAGCTGCTTCTCTCTAGCTTTCCCTCCTCCGTGTATATGTGAGGCTGGTAAGTGGTTATGTTCTCCTCCTGGTCACGGAGGCGATAGAGCCCCTGAGGAAGGGAGAGAGAACAAATGAGAAAGCAAAATCTGTATGGAGACTCCAATTATAACATCTGTTTATGACTCAGTGGGATTTGTAATAAGTAGCAGGTTAGCAAGACATCCCAGGATGATACTGTAAGCACTGCTAGTCATTCCCACCCAGCACACAACCTCCTTAATGCACAGGAGGCAGCCCAGCCCATCAGCTATGCCAAAGAGGGCGCTGGAATTGGGAGCTGTACTGCAGTAGAATAGCACAGAGAAGCTGTCAGAAGAAGCCATGAAAAAGTACAAGTTCCCAGCCAGCACAGAACAGAAAGAGTAACATACTGGACTTCACCCATGCACCTGCAATGGGAAGCACCACAGAGCCCAGCGCCTGTCTAGAAAGGAAAAGGTGTGGGTGTGACACACACGCAAGTGTCCCAGTAACTTGTGGGTGACACACCAAAGGTGTGTCTAAACTATATGGCTCCATCGATGGAGCCACATAGATTAGGCTGATTGGCAAAGGGAAATGAAGCCGCGATTTAAATAATCACAGCTTCATTTAAATTTAAATGGCTGCCCCGCTCTGCCGCCCCTGCCGACATGAAAGCCCTTTATCGACCTCCCCGGTAAACCTCATCCAACGAGGCATAACGGGGAGGTCGATAAAGGGCTTTCAGGTCGGCGCGAGAGCGTCCAGACTAGCGCACTGAGGCGACAAACAGCTGATCAGCTGTTTGACAGCTCAGCATGGCAGCCATTTAAATTTAAATGAAGCTGTGATTATTTAAATCGCGGCTTCATTTCCCTTTGCCGAACAAACAAATCTACATGGCTCCGTCAACGGAGCCATGTAGTTTAGACGTACCCCAAGTGCTGGAGACACGACCGCTTCAGCAAAGGCCCAGAGATTGCTGTAAGTGGCCTCTCCTCAGGCTCCCCCAGCTTCTGTACCTTGCTCTTATGAGGGGTTCGAAATTTGCTGCACATTAAATGCCCTTTCCACCCATCCTAGCCCCTTTTCCCATTCTACAGAACTCAAGAATGATACAGGGCTCAAACAGTTGGTGGCCTGGCTTCCACGGACATTCCAATTTGTGGGCTGCCCTAGCCCCTTCAGACCGAAGATGAAGCCACACCATTCAGAGCTGGCAACAATGATAGTCCGGCAGTGTCTCCTATGGGCAGCAGCCAAACTGGAAAGTTCCCATGGAAGCCCAGCAGGGAGCCACTGACAATACCAGGGAGTTCCAAACCTGCCATTCCTTACCTGATTCAACATTTCACCCACTGTTTCTACAAACACAGCAAGGGGTCTTCTTTGCAGGGTCTTCATGTGTCTGTAATACTGGGCCTTCTGAAAGAGACACACAGCATTGGACCCCAGTCAGACCGAAGCCCCTCCACCAAGATTTTACAAGTGTCATTCTGGTCTGAATAAATTCCTCAGCACTCACTCTGTTACAGCCATTTCTCCTCTACGTGTCTTGTCTATTTAGACTGCAAGCTCCCTGGGCAGGGACCTTCTGCTTTCCACGTTTGTACAGCACCTAGCACAATGGGGGCCCCGTGTTGCTTGGCCCCTAGGGATGACCATCGTGAACATGGTGAATCATAATAATTCACTGGATTCCTTTTAAAGACACCAAATGCAAGACCTGACCCTGCCAATATTTACTCCTTAGTCTCAGAGACCCTTGTGTATGAAATGAGGTTTACAGACTCAGGGTTATGCTATGAAAATTAAGGGATTATGCTTTGCATTTCTCTAACCTGTAACCCAGACCCAGATAGTTTGTGGAGCTTATTAGTGAGCATTCTACTTACCTGGGAATTATGGTCGTCCCTTACTGATATGGACTGGACCTCTCTACCAACATCCTTTACAAAATAAAAACAGGGAACTGTTGCATGATTCCAGGAAAGTTATTAGGGTTTAATCAAACCCACTCTGGTTAATCTGCCCTCCCTTTCCCACCCCATCCTATCCCAAACACACATAGTAAATATGACAGTTTGTAGAGTTTACTTACCCACAGAACTTGGTTATAGCCTTGACTGGATGTAAGGAAAGGAGATGATACCATTCCCTTTACATCCTGCAATGACAAACACAAGAGTTAATAATCTTGGAGGGTGAAGGGGTAGGGGAATTTTGTTCTGGATGGAGACTAATCCTGAGAAATGTCAGCCTCTGGAAATAAGTGACTAAACACAGTGTTTTGAATGGCAGCACAATCTCATTTCAGTTATAAGGTTTTTATTTCCAAATAGGGCTGTATTAAGTTATTCTTTTCGCTGTGGTTGATGTCATAGGCTGCATGTTAGACACTTCAGTAACATTAGCAGACCAGGTGCCAGGTCATACCAAAGCCCCAGGTCAATTGACCAAAGCAATTGTGAAATGTATAAAACTGTATCTGGTGTTTAAGCATCATGGAAATGGGATTTTTTTACTTAGCCATTTTTTTTACTTGTCTGTGTCCTGTTATAATGTAATAGCAAACATTTACACTGCAAACACCCCAGTAACTAAATAACCCATCAAATAAACCTTCTGGAATCCTAGGGTACGTCTAGACTACAGGCTTTTGTCGACAGAGGCTTTGCCGACAGATACTGTTGACAAAGCTTCTGTCGACAAAGAGCGTCTAGACTACATCCAGTTCTGTCGACAAAGTGGCTTGCTTTGTCGACATGAGAGTGTAGACGCAAAGAACAGTGTAGATGCAATAACGCCTTCTGTTGACAGAACTCTGTCAACAAAAGGTGTTATTCCTTGTAGAATGAGGTTTACTGCCGTCGACAAAACTGCCGAGTTCTGTTGTCGTTATGTCGACAGAACTCGGCGGTAGTGTAGACGCAGGTATAGTTTTGTCGACAAAAGTCCACTTTTGTTGACAAAACCCTGTAGTCTAGACATACCCCTAATGATGGACTTTACTAGAAAAGTGCTAATTTCAAAGCAAGTGGCCATCAAATGTGATGACTGGCGGTCAAGGACTCAAAATTCATTCCTCACTCACTGTCAAAAGAAAAGTCCACATGGGTAGAGACATTGTCTATTTTTTGTCAGATGAAGCTATAAAAGATGGATACAAGGAAAGATTCTTTATCACAGGGCTGTTTTGATTCTGAGAGAAGTGTACCACATGCAAAGCAGAGATCGCCAGAGATAATCTGGGAATCCTGAGAAGACTTTTGGGAAATTGGCAGTGTAGTTAGTTTACTATAGAATAGGCTTCCAGTGTTATGTTTGGTGTGAGATCTGGCATACCAATGGCTCTGGGGCAAGTAACTGATTGCTTGGGACTCGGAGCAACCTGATGGGGTCTGATTTTTTATTTGTGACCTTTCATTGCAAACTCTAGTCTGTCCAGATGATAAGATAGGCTGGAGAGTCTAAGGGAATGCTCTGTGACTCCATGGTAAGATGGATATAGTGACCCAGGAGCTCACCTTGGTTACCAGTTTGGTGAAATCTAAATATAGAACAAACCACCATCCTGGGTTGTCAGCCCAGTTTTCCAACATTCAGTCCTGAGATGGGGGTCTCAGTTACAAGCCGTTCCAGACAGCTGGGCATTAAAAAGGGACTCCTCCATTTACAAGATTATATAAACAAACAGGTGGTTACCTCAGACATTTGTTTTTCTTTTTTAACTTCTGGATACACAAAGATCTGGGTAGCATAATCCAAATCATCTGCTGTAACCTATGGAGGGCAGAGATGAAGACATGCATTCACTAAATGTACAGAACAAAGAACTATTAATCATTGTTGGATACCAACCAGTATTTTGCAACCCCGACCCTTCGTCATGTTGGCTGTGATTTCCCAGTTCTCACAAACAGGCTGGTATCACATGGCAAGCAGAGACAGAGAAGCCACTCAGCTCTTTCCTCAGCAAAGCACCATGCTCACCTTGTTAATACACTCCGACAGGATGAGGTGTCCAGGAAGAAGATTACCCAGAAATTGGCAGAGTTAGTCCCCATAACCTGAATAACCCAATACCATACAATAGGTCATTCTTCTGCCACAGTTAGCTGAGAAAAGGAGGAGTATTCTGCTCAACCCCAAATATGTGAAAAGACCAGATGGTTGATAATCTAGACAGACAGGTATCAAGCTGGCAAGATGCTCACAATAGGTAGGTGGATACGTTCGCTATTGCTCACCTGAGACAAAACGTTTCCACTCTCTTCATTGTACTTGATTAAAGTCTGGTTGCCTTCTTCAGAAGGGAGATAGGACTGTTTTTTCCTGGTTTGAGACCCGCATGAACACCGCAGCAGAAGACAGACAGACACTGAAAAGTGAAAAGAATGACCAGAACTGCCACTTCATAGCCTTTTAAAACAACCCCTTCGGCACCTCTCTGAGCTCCGTGAATGTAGAGATCCAGAATTCAGATCATTCCTTCCTCCCTGTGTCACCTTTTATTCTGTAACTTTCAAACATCAGGCTGGGTTAGACATGGGGTCCAGCTAGCTCAATTTCCTGTCACGGACAATAGCCAGCTCCAGAAACTGGTTTCAAAGGAAGGTGCAAGAAACCCCACAAGAGGCAACAGTGAGGTTAACCTGGCCCTATGGGAAATTTCTGTCTAGCCTACTCCATCAGTGATGAGCAACCAGGACTAATGAGCAGGCCAGGTGATTAGCCTTCCTTTATCTCAGTGGACCGCATGACCACTAGTGGGCAACCCATAGCCTGTAGCCCACTAGAGTTCCACCTGTCGCCCATGCAACCTGTCTCTGTCCCCTTCCCCCATGCCTCTCATGTACTGGGACACTAAAGCCCCACACTTAACAAGCCCGGAATAACGGCCCGCGTCTACACGCGGCAATGAAACGGGCGTTTGAAATAAAGCCCTATTTCGAACTTCCTGTTATTCTTTCTGCAATGAGGTTTAATGGGTAGTTCGAAATAGGGCTTTATTTCGAACGCCTGTTTCACTGCTGCGTGAAGACGTGGGCCGTTATTCCGGGCTTGTAAATTTCAAAAAATGGCACCCTGCCGGGAAGATGCAAATTAAGCACGGGGTATTTAAATCCCGGGCTTGATTTGCAATTCCAAATGCCTACTTTTGCAGCCCTATTCCGAAATAGGCTGCAAGTGTAGACATACCCAAATGAATTTGCACAGGAAAATAAGACAAACACTCTGTAACCTGTGGGTGAACACTTGTCACAAAGTGATCGTGCTATATATAGAACCTATCAGTCCCCATCCTCATAGGAAACCTACACAGCACCATAAAAACACAAACATAACTTTTCTAGACTTTAAAGTTCATGGATTGAACAGAGACACTGGATTTATGGTTTATTAAAACAATCAAAACCTTCCTCCCCCCAGCTTCTTACCTCTTCCTTCCCTTCCCATCCCTACCTCAGTATTGGAGGGGTGTTAACAAGCCACTGCCCCTTGAATGATCCCTTGAAATCAGTGTTAACTTCTTAAGCTAAGCAATATATTCCACCTTGCATTTAGCTGTGACACTCAATAGGCTTCCCAGACCTCAAGCTCTGTGGTATAAGCACAACAGTTCAGCTCCCTCACTAACAGCAGTTGGTTGAAAAAGAGATATTACCCCTCCACCATGTCTCTCTAATATCTTGGGCTCTATTACAACAGGGCTACCACAACTCTGCATATCTATTCCCAAACAGTTTTATCCTTAAACATTTTAACTTCATCCAACAAAGATGAATTTTATCATTGTCTGTTCAGATGTCTATATTTTATCTAACATTCTATTTTCCTACAGATCTCTTGGCCTCTAAGATGTCTGTGGCAGTGAATTCCACAGGTTAACAATATGCTATAAAAGAGAGAATTCCCTTTTATCTATTTCAAGTGTCCTGCCTTTCAACTTCATTAGATGCTCCCTCTTTCTAATCTGAGAAAGAATCCACATTTCACATGCCGCCTTTATCTCTTCTCCTCTCTAAAATATGCCACCCTGAGCTTTTCACTCTCTTTAGTTGGAAGAATTTCTGGGACCGTTCATTTCTACTGCTCACCCTTTCTATTTTCATTGTACTTCTGAGACAAACACACAATTCCACAAGAGAGCATCCTAGCTCAAGGTATGATGCCATATGAGCATGGACAGTGTGACTTTCTAACCCGCTCTTCAGACAGCCCAATCATCTGTTAGCTTTCTTGATCACGACTATACGCTGAGCACAGGTTTCAATTGAGCTGTCCACCAATAAAACTCAGACTTTTCTCTGAGTCACTACAGCTAATTTACAGGGGGGGCATCCATGTGTACCTGTTGCTTAAATGATTCCCTTCCAGTGCTCATTACTCTTCGTTTGTCAACACTGGATGACATCTGCCATTGAACGGCACATGATGGCATTTTGCCAAACAACCAAACAGACTGTTCCCTTGGTTGATGGAGATGAAGATTGCACTGGTCGTTGCATGAGCACAGTTGTGGTTCCCACTGCAAGACGAAGGTGGCTCCACAATGTACTAAGGCTATACATCATCTGCTTAAGACCACTGAATGGTGGTGACACAAAAGGGCAGTTATTTAGTTCCACCTTTGCTGCACTCAGACATACTAGGAGACTCAAATGGCCATTTTACTGCAACTTGTTAAAGGCAAGTACAATAGGACACATATTAATAGGCAGCAGCTCCCATGAGATCTTATAGTCAAGTGATGGGCGAGGGGTAAATTTTAGCAGGTATCTTACCAAGAAGTAACAAGAAAGCTGCCAACATCACAGCAATGGCACCACCTCCAAGATTCAATGACGTGAAATTCGGTTCTTCACATACGTTTCCATCATGGCAACGGCAGAGCCTCACAAACAAATTCTGCTTTCTTGACAATCCCTGCCTGTCCAGAATTAGGAGAGGCACCTTGTACTTGCCACGTGGGAGGCTTCTCAACATTAAAAGTTCAACTGAGTCACCTAAAAGAAGAAAGGTAAGAATTCTTGAGCCTCATGGATAAAGCCACAAGCTGCCTGAAAGCACAGGGTCATGGGGGAAGTGGCTTTTTCACATTGTGAGCCTTTCTGAAGTCTACACACAGAGTGGGAAAATTGATTGGAAGCACAAAGGGACAGAATGTCAGCGCGATGGGGTTCACAATTTGGGGTTTCATTTGCACATGCTGCTACCCAGATAACTTGGGCCAGTGGTGTAGTGCCTGCCTATAGCCAGCCCTTGATACGGGCGATGAGGACTGCCGCTTAGGGCGATGTGCTGATGGGGAAGCATATGAAGTCTCACCTGACCTGCTCTGGGGCCAGCTACCTAAGCAGGGAGGAAACACAGCAGCTCAGCCAGGGTCTGGAAGGGCAGAGACACTCACTCACTTGTCTCGAGTAACTCCTCTGGTCTGGTGGGAGCAGCAGCAGGAAAGGGTGCGGGGGAGGTTCCCCATTCTCCTGGAGACAGAGGGCGTTCTGCAGAAGCCATGTGGGGAATGGCTGGAGCAGGCTATGCTGGAAGAGGATTGTGGTGGAGATTGAAGGACTGTGTGTGTGTGCAACTTCCCTCTCTGTTCTGGCTGACGGGTTTAGAGCAGCCCTGCTATGTGGGTATGTGTTAGTGTAGTGCAGGTCTATGTCCACCTCTCCCTTTTCTTCTTCTCCCCACCCTAAACGCCCCCACTTGTCCAGGAAAGGGCTTTCCCCTGGCTCTGCTGGCAGGACTGGTGCACTGTGCACACATTTAGCTCTGCGAAAATCACAGCACCAGGCTAACCCCTGTTTCTATCCCATCCCTCCCCTGCAGAGAAGTGACACATGGGGGGAGGGAGACATGCACTGCACTGGGTTACATTAACCCATCCCTAGTTTTCTGCCAACCTCTGCCTGCCCAGCTCTCTCCCCCTTCCTCTCCTGCTTGCTGGAGGCAGCCTGGGGCCAAGACAGGAGAGGTAAACAACTGCATGTGCACCAAATAGCTTGCAATACTGAGGAGGAGGGGTGATCTGCTGCTGCTGCTGCGGCTGCTGCTGCTGCTTCAGCTCTGCAGGGAGAGGCTAGGTACGGAAGGAAGGAACAGCTGCTTTCCCAAAGGGAACTGAGGACAAGGGGAAGAGCTGAGCTACCAGCTGGGAGGGAGGGTATATGACACTTGAGTTGTTGGAGGGGAACCTTTATATTGTGCTCCCCCATCAGCAGTTCAAGGCCTTGTTCTCCCTGTTCCTCTGGCTCAGAAGCTGCACTCACTTGGTCTGAGGGGGAATACTGCTGAGCCCCAATATGAGGTAAGTCGGGGGGGGACATGAGAAAAATGAGTGTTACTGAGATCAGCTCCCCGGGTGCTCCCCCAACAGAGTGGGAAATGGGGGTCACAGCAGGTGGTATCTGCCTGGCTTGCTGAATCATATTTACAGAAGAACAGACAGACAAGGTGGGTGAGGAAAAATCTTTTTTGGCTTTGGACCAACTTTGGTTGATAGAAGAGATCGGCCCTTTTTCACTCCACAGACCTGGAAAAGATCTCTGTGGAGTTCCAAAAGGTTTTTCTCTTTCACCAACAATATTTGGTCCAATAAAAGATATTACCTCACTCCCCTTGTGAGTCATCTCTTTGTAACTCAGAGCAGTAACTGATCCCAAATTACAGCAGTTCCAACTACTAACATTGCAATCAATCTGTCCATGACTACAGCAAAAAACCACTAAGTGTTATTACAGGTCAAGAGATACCAAATAAATATCCTAAAACCAGACAGACATGGTCTGTTGATTTAACTATTCATTTACTCATCCTTTTGTAACAAGCCCAGTTCAGAAGTTTATATCACTGAATTTTGACTCTAACAAGCTCTCGAGCAGCATTTTTTTTGCTTTCCTTCGCAGTAAATAATTGAATTATTACTGATGGAAATATTTCGGGATGAGTGTGTGTGCGCGCACACTGTGCCATCAATAGCTAATTTCTAAGTTAGTTGCAAAAAAAAAAAAAAAAAAAAGATTTCAGGTGCTTAAGTATCCTCTGGCATCAGTTAGAATTGCCTCCTCATCGCCCCCACAATCTGAAATGGCAACCTTGGTGAGTCAAAAGTGGCCAGAGGACTACTCAGGCAAGATGCGGCTCCCATGTGACAGCATGGAGCTCACCTTGAGCTGCAAGCCAAGCACCAGGCACAAAAGGGGAAGTGCAACTGCAGCAAGGGAGCTGCTAGGGCTCCTGCAGAGCAGTTCCAACTGTGGAGGAATTGCCCCGCTGAAGGCAGTGACCCATTCAGATATTTTTACCCACCGTTTCATTTCACAATCTGATGCCATTCAAAACCAGCAGCCTTCCTTCTGAGCCTCATATTTTACGGTAAATATTTAATCTAAAATAATCCATTCCCCACATAGCTCTTAAAGGAAGTGATTGGCCAAGAAGAATTGATCATGACAATTCCCTTTGCAAGGGGCAGAGACAAGGGGAGCAAAGGACTTAGCAGCTTCTTTCATGAGCCTTGTCCCTTAATCTCCTGAGACTCCAATTCCACCCCCCAGCTATGGAGAATACTCTGGCTCACAATCTCACCCCATCACAAGCAATGTCACAGTTTGCAGCAGCAAAGGCTCACAGTGCTGCCTTCTGAATCTTAGCATTTTGATGAACATTTGGTATCTGTTGTTATTCATTAGTTTTGGTTTAGTTTGACACTTAGCTATGATGTTTTATGACTTATAGTTTAACAAACTGAATCAATTGTTATATCAATTTTTTTCAGTCAATTATAAAAACTTAAAGATTACAGCTTTATTTCTGAAATTTTCACTACTGCATACTTAAACTCAAGGGGTGCCAAAACACAAGTTCCCCCAGGGAGCCATTTTCCCTCAGGCCAGCCCTGTTATAGCTGATACATGTTTCCAATAAAATAAGAGATCTATCACTTTACAATATGGATAGTGCCTTCAGTTCCACAGTAATTGTGCCAATGATCAGAAAAGAAAACAGTTTCTTGCCCCATGTCAGATTACTTTAGAGGCCTCAAAGCAGAATGATACAAAATCCTACTGAGTCTGTAATCATGGACAATTGTATTAAAAGACATCTAAGTAGAGTCTGATTCACGTTTACTCCAGTATAACGCTACTCCATTGTCATGAGCGTGGATTGATTTTGAATCTATTCCAAAGTGAGAATGCAGAACTTAAGCCATTGAAGTGATAATTATATAACAGACGGTAAACATGACTGTGCTTGTGTCAAACAGTGATGGGATGCCAAAGTGAGCAGGAGTTTCACAGGGTGTGTGGGAGGGAGAACTTACCAAAACTCTTTCCTAATCTCCAGTTTTGCTTTATACTTTTTGAGTCATCAGCGAGTTTAAATGTAAAAGGACCAGCATACGGATGGGAGTCATCATCTTCCGCCTTTATGATGAGGGGATTCCATTTCTCTTTGTCACAAACTTCCAAGGAAGGTGTAACTAATGTTGGCACATGGTCATTGATGTCAGACAAGTAAAGCTGAATGGTGCCAGTGCCGGTCTGTGGCGGAACACCTAGGTGGAAACAACAGAGCCTGGCCAAGATATTCACAAGAGGAAACAGTCTGACATGACTGTCATGCCCAGTGTGTTTCTTATTAGCTCCTAAATAATTAAATACATTAGCAAGATGTAAGGACATTAGGATTATCCAGACTGAGTCTCCAATCAGATTGATAGTCAAATCATTTCATAGTGTGTTTTTTACCTGAGAATATTTAAGTGCTTTACAGGGAATAAACAATTAGCCGGTAATAATTAACTTGTGAAGCATGTAGAATAAAATTGTGAAGCATGTAGAAGAACATAATTTGTTGGACAAAAGTCAACATGGCTTCTGTAAAGGGAAATCCTGTTTTACTAATCTATTAGAGTTCTTTGAAGGGGTTAACAAACATGCGGACAAGGGGGATCCAGTAGATATAGTATACTTGGATTTTCAGAAAGCCTTTGACAAGGTCCCTCACCAAAGGCTCTTGTGTAAATTACATGGCCATGGGATAAGAGGGAAGGTCCTTTCTTGGATTGAGAACTGGCTAAAAGACAGGAAACAAAGGGTAGGAATAAATGGTAAATTTTCAGAATGGAGAGGGGTAACTAGTGGTGTCCCCAAGGGTCAGTCCTGGGACCAATCCTTTTCAACTTATTCATAAATGATCTGGAGAAAGAGGTAAGCAGTGAGGTAGTAAAGTTTGCAGATGATACCAAACTGTTTAGGATAGTCAAAACAGAAGCAGACTGTGAGGGACTCCAAGAAGATCTCACCAAACTGAGTGATTGGGCAACAAAATGGCAAATGAAATTTAATGTGGATAAGTGTAAAGTAATGCACATTGGGAAAAATAACCCTAACTATACATACAGTATGATGGGGGCTAATTTGGCTACGACAAATCAGGAAAGAGATCTTGGAGTTATCGTGGACAGTTCTCTGAAAACTTCCACACAGAGTGCAGCGGCAGTCAAAAAGGCAAATAGGATGCTAGGAATGATTAGGAAAGGGATAGAAAATAAGACCCAGAATATCTTACTGCCCCTGTATAAAACTATGGTACGCCCACATCTTTGTGGCGAGCGCTGAACTGATATTGTTGAAGGGCTTGACTCATCAGAGTTCACTTCACTACTAGCCCATTTTACACAGGAACTGCCAGACTGGGTCGGACCAAAGGTCCATCTAACACAGTATCCTGCCTGCTGACAGTGGCCAATGCCAGATGCTCCAGAGGGAGGAAACACAACAGGTAAGCCTCACGTGATCCCTCTCCTGTCACAAATTTCCAGACACACAGAGGCTAGGGACACCCTTCCTACCTGGCAAATAGCCATTGATGGACCTAACCTCCATCTAGCTCTTTTTCGAACCCTGTTAGTCCTAGTCGTCCCCACATCCTGTGGCAAGGAGTTCCACAGGTCGACTGTGTGCTGAGTGAAGAAAACCTTTGGGTAGCAGGTTTAAAACTAATAAAAGAAAGTTCTTCTTCACACAGCGTGTAGTCAACCTGTGGAACTCCTTGCCAGAGGAGGCTGTGAAGGCTAGGACTATAATAGAGTTTAAAGAGAAGCTAGATAATTTCATGGAGGTTAGGTGCATAAAAGGCTATTAGCCATGGGATAAAATGGTGTCCTTGGCCTCTGTTTGTCAGAGGCTGGAGAGGGATGGCAGGAGACAAATTGCTTGATCATTGTCTTCGGTCCACCCTCTCTGGGGCACCTGGTGCTGGCCACGGTCGGTAGACAGGATACTGGGCTAGATGGACCTTTGGTCTGACCCAGTACGGCCGTTCTTATGTTATGTAACTCTTGATACTATTGTCAGCTAGACAGATACTATCATCCCATGATGCCGATGGCTTAGCTGAGATACCAAGGATTTAGGTGTATTTCCACAGGGTGCACAGCAAGGTGAATTGGGACGAGAACATAATCCTCTCTCTCTCAGCCCCCCAGGTTTCTATCTCAGGTATGCGCACACAGAACCTACAGAAGAAAGGTGGACGACACAGTGCTACACCAGGGTTCAAGTCCCTGCTCTGCCATAATGCTCCTGTGACACCTTGGACAAGTCAGTCTCGGTCCTTATGTTCCCATCTGTCAATGAGGGATTGTAGCACGGCCTTACCCTGCCCTCCATTGTCTGTACCACTGCTAATTAGTGTGTGGGTGAAGTCAGAGATGCCGGTTGGGACCTGTAATGCCCCACCTCTCCCTCTGCAAGCTACCAGCACAGCTGCGATCATCTGAGATCAGACAGCGCCCTTGTCTGCTAAGTAAGGCTGGAAGTAGGCCTCTTTCACGGAGGAGGCATGTCACACACACACACACACACACACACACACACACACACACACACACACACCCTGCGTCCTCTACAGATCAGAATTGGTGGACTTTAGGTGACTGCAAGGCTGGCCTGCCTGTTTTCCCACGCACTCATTTGAGGCATTGATTAGGGGACAGGGTGGAGATCATTTTAGGGCAAGACAGTGTTGGGAAAGACTCGCTAAATTGAACTCAGAGGGCACCTCTGCCAGCGTCCAGTACTCCTGCTCTTTCCAGGAGTAAGGGAAGCCGATGGGAGTGTTTGCTCCCTTTGGTCTCCCATATGGGGACACCACCAAGATCGGTTTAAGGAAAGCCAACTACAGCTACGTATTCTATGTCACGGGAGTTGCGTACGTTAAGCCAAGCTGCCGGGTCTTGTGTAGACCTGGCTTAACACTCAAAGCACATACTCAGACGCAGTCTCATTTGCTATCTCTGACCAGAAACTTACCATTATCTATAGCATGAACAATAACAGGATAAATACTGTTGTTCACATAGGGGGATTCCCGATCAAGTTCTTTCCTGGCAGTAAGAATACCAGTGTTCTCATCAATATTCATCCAACCTGCCGGATCATAAACTATTTTGTATCTTAATAAAACAAGACATAAAAATCCATGGTTAAACAATGATTTAAATATCTCAGGCACTCCAATTCCAGTTCTATTACATCTCCTGGTTCCGTTTTAAGCCCCGGATATTTCCACTCTGGGAATTCACTTGTTTGTTTGTTTACTGTTTCTCATTGATGAGAAGTGATAAGACAGCATCACTAGGGACTGAATTCTCTTCATCTGCCAAAACATTTACAATGTAGCTAGTGGCAATGCAAGCTTCCCCATACTAGTGCTAACTAATATCCCTTGCCCACAGTACAAAAACACTGTTAAGGGTCAAAAGATAACAATCTCTATTCCAGTTCACCTGTGAGGAATTTGGACCAAGCAAGTACTGTATGATTGGCATAATTGCTTTTACTATTTCAGAAGCAGAACTAAATATTTCCTATCTATGTCTGGAGGGTTGCTGCATCCAGCCACTCTAGTACTCCAATATTAGAATAGTTTACAATAGTTGTGCTAAGAGGGTTTTTTATTAAAGTTAAAAGCTCTTTCCTTTGTGTTTCTTAACAATTTCCCCAGCTCAGAGTTTACAGTATCTCCACTCACTTTATCTTATTTGGCACCGCATCTAGATCTACAGCCATATATTCTCCAAGCTTCGTTCCAGGTTTCACGCCTTCTTCATTTGCAAGAAAAAGCAGTGGAAGGTGAAATTCCGGAGCATCATTTATATCTAGGACTTCCATACCCACTGATGCAGTGATGGGGGCTAACAGAGAATTCGTCGGCTTCCCATTATGGCATAAAGAGAAAGGCTCTTCATTTTCAACAGAAATAACAAGTCTCTTCTCTGAGACTTCTTCAAAGTCCAGAGGCTACAAATGCCAAAAAAAAAAAAAAGTTTCCATTAGCAATTATGACTTTTCCTATGGAAAGATCATCTCTTTGTAACTCAGAGCTGTAACTGACCCCAAATTACAGCCATGCCAACTACTAACATTGCAATCAATCTGTCCATGCTATGAAATGCCATACTGTATCAAATCTACAGCTTCAGAAACACTACCTTAATGATGCTTAAAATGCCCTCATTTGTCTCAGGGTCGGTCTCAATGATGAACTGTTTCTTTTCATTGCCTTCCTCGATTTTGTACTTTGCTCTCCAACCAGGTGTGTTTGGAGAATCTTCATCTTCCACCGGGAGCCTTAACACACCTGGCCCTACTTTGCCTTCTGAAATTTGTAGCTGATACTGAAAAAAAAAAAAAAAAAAAAAGATGGCCTCATCAGTGTCCATCAATCCAGGTTCCCATCACCCTTCCAAAACCTGAAGATCCACTTCACATGGCCCACTTCCTCTGGCCTAGCTTTAGGGTCCTCCGCTTTGGCAGGGTAGCTCCAGTGTAGACACACAAGGGCCTCTCCTACAGCTTCCTCCAGGACCCCCGTCCTCAGGATTGCAGAGGCTCTGTGGATGTGGCCTGAGGTTGAATAATCTCTGAAAATCTGGATGGGGATATAATTCTGTCCAGTGAAAATATCACCACAATAGTTATGTCTATTAGATTCATCTGCTGTATCGTCTGCTGGTAACTTTTAATTTTTGTTTAGGGCTCAATGATGCCTCCCTTACTCATAAGAACATAAGAATGGCCATACTGGGTCAGACCAAAGGTCTATCTAATCTAGTATCCTGTCTTCCAACAGTGGACAATGCCATATGCCCCAGAGGGAGTGAACAGAACAGGAAATCATCAAGTGATCCCTCTCCTGTAACCCATTTCCAGCCTCTGACAAACAAAGGCTAGGGACACTCATTCTGGCTCATAAGTACTTATGGACCTATCCTCCATGAATGTATCTAATGCTTCTTTGAACTCCTGTTAAAGTCCTGTCTTCACAACAGCCTCTGGAAAGAAGTTCCACAGGTTGACTGTGCGCTGAGTGAAGAAATACTTCCTTGTGTTTGTTTGAAACCTTCTGTTTGTTAATTTCATTTGCTGACCCTTAATTCTTATGCTATGTGCTCATACAAAGTAGCACTTTACTCTGCAAACTGACTCATTGACATTAATGAAACTACGCAAGAAACAATGTCCTATGCAATGTAACTAAGGGTGATGGATTCTAGCACTTCTATCCTAGAACTTAGGTAAAGCACCATCCATTGCCAGAGCCTGGGGAAGCTTTTCCACACCCATGTATCTCACAGTGCTTTTCATACCATTTGAAACTACAAAGAAATACAAACACTGATACACATATGGAGAGAAGAAATCACAATAGCTACAGAGAGCCATAGAATTTAACTAGCATGTTTATACCCATAAAGTCCAAACTTCACCCAGTAGCCTACTGGAACAGGTGCATTTTGCTCTGTATCCTGTAGCTTTCCAACTCTAGCAAATGAATGAGTGAATTCCATGGGCGGAGATCTTCCATGGCTATGTCTTAGTCAAACGTTGTTTTGTGCACTTTGTGGCCAATGCTCCACTGTAAGGCCCTTTTCTGCTGGTGTGCACCTTGACAGCATATGTGTGGGTTTTAAACAGTTAAGCACCCCATCTTCATTCATTAGAATAGGCAAGTTACAAAACTTGTTTTACTTTTTCTTACACAAATGGACTATACCCCTAAAATCCTCAGCCGACTCATACGCTCTTCAGAGCTCTTTTCCCAAAACCAGACAAAGAAGGTGGCAGCAGAGAGGAAATGGAAATAGCATGCTGTTTAGAAATTGGGTGGCTGTAATTACTTTCAGCTCAGACTAAAGTCATGGCTCCTTCCTCAAGCAGAAATTCTGGTCCCTTAAAGGTCAGGAAGCCTGAATCAGCAGGAGAGTTCTGGACCTCCTTAGTTTTTGGATGGGGTAGGATTTCTCTCTCTCCCAGCCTCAGATACAGCAGCGAAAGCATTTAATGAAAAGGTAAGGACTCAAGTATAACAATACATACAGCATTGTTGTGGATCTGAGTCTGCAATCCAGTCAAAAGAGAGTGTCACGGCAGTGAGTTAACTTTTCTGCAATGTGCAATTGCTGTTTTCATAGCACCAGCTTACAGAAATGGCACTAAAACTTTTAGGGGAACCAATATCAATACATGGGAATTCACTGTCAAATGTCTTCCAGTCTGCATTTAAGAGATTTCTACTAACATTCAACAATTCCAAAGCCAGAAACATTGTCTCCTACATTACAATTTGTTTAATACTTGAGGAAAATATCTTCACGGATGTCTCTTTTTCCTCTTCTGATAAATGTCCAGGCTTTTGGAGACTAATCCTGGGACAATTTATATCAAAATCTAGTAATAATTTGGGCAAATGATTAAGGTACCCTGCAAGGTAAATGTGAAATTATTTGTAATCTTTTTTCTGCAGCCAGCTACATAGAATCCTCCCTGAGAATAATGGAAACTCTTTGTGTGGAATAACTGCAGAATTAGGCTTCTGAAGTAGGTGATAAGATGAACAGGAAAAAAAAAGAAATCTTTTGATCCAAAGATGAGCAGCTAAAAAAGCCAGCTCTGAGGTCAACTGTATTTTGTACTATCTTAATTTCTCCTGAGGCACTCACACACATCCTTTCTATTCTTTCCTCAAGAGCTGAGATAGCTGAGTGAAGCTCTCATAAGTGAACTCGGACAATATGGTGAATTTCTGGAACATGTGGCCCCTAGGGTCACAGAATCCTATGGCTAGAAGACACCTCAGGAAGTCATCAAGTCCAACCACCTGCCCAAAAGCAGAACCAACCCTAACTAAATCACACCAGCTACGGTTTTGTCAAGCCAGGACTTAAAAACCTCTAGGGGTGGAGATTCTACCACCTCCCTAGGTAACCCACTCCAGTGCTTCACCATCCTGCTAGTGAAAAAGTTTTTCCTAATATCCAACCTACACCTACCCCACTGCAACCTGAAACTATTGCTCCTCATCTTGCTATCTGGCACTACTGAGAACACCCTCTCTCCATCCTCTTTGGAACCTCCCTTCAGGTAGTTAAAAGCTGTTATCAAATCCTCCCTCACTCTTCTCTTCTGCAGACTAAATAAACCCAAGTCCCTCAGCTTTTTCTCATAGGCCATGTGCTCCAACCCCCTAATCATTTTGGTTGCCCTCCACTGGACCCTCTCCAATGCATTCACATCCTTTCTGTAGTGGGGGCCCCCAGAAATGGATGTAATACTCCAGATATGGCCTCACCAGTGCCAAATAAAGGGGAATAATCACTTCTCTAGGTCTGCTGAAAATGCTCCTCCTAATGCAGCCTTCTTGGCTACAAGGGCACACTATTGACACATATCCAGCTTCTCATCCACTGTAATCCTTAGGTCCTTTACTGCCAAACTGCTGCTTTGCCAGTAGGTCCCCAGCCTGTAACAGTGTTTGGGATTCTTTTGTCCCAAGTATAGGACGCTGCATTTGCCCCTGTTGAACCTCATGAGATTTCTTTTGGCCCAACCCTCCAATTTGTCTAGGTTTCTCTGGACCCTACCCCTACCTTCCTATCAAACAAGCCCAAAATAATCCCTTGAACTGATATTTTAGAAAAACATCCTGTCTTGATTTAAAAATTGTCAGTAATGGAATGAATTGTTCCAACAGTTTAGTTACTCTCACCAATAAACATTTGCACTCTATTTCCACTTGGCACATGTCTAGCTTTAACTTCCAGCCTTGTTATCCCTTTCTTTGCTCTACTGAAGAGCCCATTATTATATAAGTGTTCCGCAGACAGGTACTTCTAGAATGTAATCGGGTCACCCCTTAACCATCTCTTTGATAAGCTAAATAGCTTGAGTTCCTTGAGTCTATCACTAATGGCAGGTTTTCCAAGATTTTAATCATTCCCATAGCTCTTCCCTGAACCCTCTCCAATCTATCAATATCCTTCTTGATTTGTGGGCACTAGAACTAGACACGGTATTCCACCTGCAGTTACACACTGCCAAACAGAGGTAAAATAATCTCTCTACTCTAACTATTCCCATTCAAGCCTCCCAGGATAGCATTCGTTTTTTGGCCACAGTGTCACACTGTGAGCGCATGTTCAGCTGAGTATCCATCACTTAATGCTAATGTGTTAATAATTCACATCCATACACACGTGAGTTTGATTTTGCAAGGTGCCAAATGCTCTTAATTTGGACTCAGCACCTGGCAGGATTGAAATTTCTTTGGCTTAGGATGGTTCAGTAAAGTAGCTGCACTTTCTCCTTACATTTTCCTTGGTAAATGCAGGCAGGTGGTTGTTTGTATCCTCAATGGCAATGTTAACTGTTGCAGTGGATGACATTTGTGGGGTCCCATGGTCTCTGGCTTTGATCAGAAGTTTAAAAGATCTGGCAGTCTGAAAAACAAGTTAATTAACTTCTAAAATGTAGGTTAGGGAAAAGGGTCTGGTCATTGCTAGACTGTTCATCCTTTAAACTATACTTGTGAGCCTCCACCTGTCCCACAGATTCCTATATGAACATCAATGGACGCATGGCAAGTATAGATCACAACATATTTTGTACTTCACCTTATATTCCAAGCATCCTGAAACCATTATCAGACCACTGGTAGGATCAATGTTGAATCTGGGCTCTTTGAGATTGGGTGTCTGTGTAAGAAGGGAATAGGTCACCCGAGAATTAGCCGTGTTTTCTTCATCTTTGTCGAGGGCTGTCACTTGGAAAACTGGCTCATCTAGGATGAAGAATTGAAGTATTTATTACAAAAGCTCACATCTGATATGGATGTACTTGGGCCTGATTACCTTTATCCCTCTTTATTACCCCTCCACCCTAATTACCCACAACCCCCCGCCTTTCTGCATGGCCACTAGACTCCTCTCTGTGCCTACACATATTTTCCTCCACATTTGCACTGAGGTTTGCCACTTACGTGACTATTGCTTAGCAGCTCCGGCCTCCTCTCCTGTTGCTATAATTAGCTCATTTATGGACACAAATTTGTAGGAAAGACTTAATCTACAAAGATAATTGATTGCATTTCTGTATTTCTCTACTAAGTAATTCACTGGTTTCTAACCCAGCAGTGCTGCCAGCCAGCCTCACACTGTGTATTCACATCACTGTTCTTTCCAAGCACACCCAATTTATTGCTGATCATCTGATTCATTAGTGGAACTGGAAACAGTTCAAATATGGCTTCCATTCAAGGAAAGACTACAAATATTAGGACTGTTTAGCTTTGGAAAGGCATGACTAAGGCATGCTGAAAGAGATCTACAAAATCAGAAATGGTGCGGAAGGAGTGAACAGAGAAGTGTTGTTTATCCTTTCAGACAACACAAAAAACAGAGATCATGTGATGAAGTTATAGGCAGCAGATTTAATACAAACAAAAGGAAATGCCTCTTCACATAATGCACAACTAATCAGTGGAACTCATTGCAATTGGATATTGCATTAGCCAACAGTACAACATGGTTCAAAAAGAACAATGTGAGTTCAAGGGGGATAAGTCCGTCAATGGCTATTTGGCAAGATGGTCAAGGATGCAAGCCCAGGCTCAGGGTGACCTTAAATTTCTGAATATCCACTGCCAAGAATGAAAGACAGGATGGATCACTCCATAATTATCCTGCTCTCTTCGTTTCCCCTAAAGCTCTGGTACAGGCTGCTGTCAGTGACAGGATACTTGGTAAAAAGGACCCTGGTCTGACCCATTATGGAAGCTTCTATGTGCCTATCTGTGATGAAAGGGTCCAATTCTGCGACATTCTCAGCACCTCTGGGAAACAGTTCCCACTAAAATCAATAGCAGTGTTGCCATTTACATCATCAGGAGTAGAATATTAAGCTGGTTTTTTTTATTTCCAGTTTGGAGCTGGCCCTGTCTACTTCCAACCCCTTTATTTTGCTACAATTTTGTAGAAGTCTTGACTGATAAAAAAAAGTACCAGACCAAAGGACTCAGGAGCTTTTGTTAAAGATATTTGGTGTTTATGTATAACATGCTGCCACAGTGTATTTAAATGTGATGTAGACAAAAACTTTGGCATTCTATCTTCTCACATAAACAGGAAGACACTTTTTGATCTAGGAAAATAATTCACTTTAAGCCTCAAGCTTTGCAACATCATTTAAACTGTGCAATAATAATGACTCTCCAGACTGCCTTCCCTTTTGCTGTATTCTTTATAAGAAATTGGTTTCAGTCCAATTCTTCCTTTAGCTAAGACTTAAATCCAATTGCAACACCGCAGTCAGAAATGATAGTAGCAAAGGAATTGCTATAGGGCCCAGACCTAAAAACAAAAGCACGTTTCATGGACACTGGGGCTACTTAGGATAATCTGTAAGCACCTGTTATTAGGTGCTTATAGAATTGGGACTTGTCTGTATATTACTTAGGATTCCAGCGGGACTGGAAAATTGTTCCTTCACTCTCTAAACCTATGTTTAAAACTACAGGGGAGAAAAAACCCACAAGCCAGTAAAAATTGCTTCTTTAGAGGCACTTACTCTGATTGTGGCTTTCCTTTATTGTAATGTTAAATTCGTCCTTGGGAAACTTGGGTGAGTTATCATTAATGTCTTTAATCTTAATGATGAAAATTAAAGATCTGTCCACTATCTCCCCAGTCGCTCTATGCACAACATCAAAACATATCTGAGAAATGGATATCAATACAAAAACAAAGTTAGTCATCAGAACTGCACAGGAAATTTCTTGATGACAAAGCTAATTTCAGTTACAAACATACTTAGCAACCTTTTTTTTTCGTTTGCATCATTAACAATGAGTTGCTTCACTTGGCAAAGTTAGTATATGGTAAAAGTTCTAGACTTTTGTAAAAATAAATATAGTGAAAGCTTTGTTATCTGGCACTAAATGGGGGTTGCCAATTAACTGAATGTACTGGATAACTAAGCTTATAGCTCTGCCTCTGCCCCCTACTGGTAGATCTGGCTCTCAGCAGCTAGAGTAAAGCTGAAGGGGAAAGTAGCACCTGCTGATGAGATAGCTGGCAGTACCATCTGTCAGAAGCCCCTCAGCAGCTGGCTGCACAAGGGGGAGTAAGGTGCACACCAGTATTGTGGCTAGGAGCATTGCTAGTTAACCCTTCATTGTACATAAATAAAATGGAAATTCAGCTGCACAAAATAATCCAGCAGTTTAAAACAATCAAAGACAAAATTGGGTACAACATTATTTTATGGGTCACGTTTTCAGCCCTGGGCTTTAGCTGTATGGATCATACTTCTGGGCATGCAACTGTTGCATTTGTACATAATCATGTGCATGCAAACACCACAGATGGACAACTTCTAGATGTGTGCAAATATCAGCTTGAACAGCAGGGACAAAGGTAGTATTTTTTAAAAGCACCTATGTTCCAATGAATTTCAATGAGACTGTGACTTAACAACTGCTTTTAAAAGGGACAGTCTTCTAAATCACTTCCGTGTTTGTGAAAATATTGCCCATAACTTTAGTTTAATGAGATTCCATGTTGTCCCTGACTATACAATGGACACTCACAATAAAAGGAGACACTATGCAAATATCACTAGACCAAAAATATTTGCTTTAGTTATACTCCCTTCCCTGGAATAAATGAGCTTTACAATCAGAAAGGCTGGCATAGAGTGAACTTCAAAATCCCATTTATAGATATTCAGGTTTTAAATTCATGTACTGAAGTTTTCCTTTCTGGAAGTATTTGCATATTCATCCAGGCAGGGACCAAAAACTATACACTCAGATTCATTTGGTCAATGCAAAAGGGCAGAATTCTGCAAAGAATTATGAGTATGCAGTATTTGCAATTAATCCACAGAGAACACTTTTTTTTTTTTACTAATCATGGAATAAATTTAAGGAAACAGTCTACTGCAGATTTCTACAGAGAAATTAAAAATTAATAATTTATTTGCCCTAATAATAATATCAAAAATTTCTAATGCTCCCTTTTAAAGGCTAGACTGTGCTGGTTACTGTGATATAAGGCTATAATAAAAGAATTGGAAAGCCAAGTTAACAATAACTTGAGCTCTGATTTTATATTTCATCTACTTTAACTTTTACCTTTTGTTACTGATGCAGGGCATCAAGAGAAAACAGTAGACTTGCTGGGGGCCTGAAGCTATAGCTTCTCTCTCAATGTACTTTGCTATTGTAGGCAGCTCACCCACTCCAGGACAAGAGTATTACTGGTCTTTCACCATGCACAAACAATCAGCACTGCCAGGGAACTTAACACTACATTCTTACAGAGAGAAAGCATCAGTGGGAGAATCTAACATAACATGTAATTTCAGGAGACCATTGTTGCAATCCTCAACCAGGTTCACTGGGCTATTCCTAGTTGCCACAGCTATGTACCAGCTTGGCCTGGTTTCCTCTCCACACTGTGCTTGTGGGGCAGCATTCCAGCCACTAATGCATGTGGTGGAAGAGGGCCCAACTCTAAATCTGGAGGGTGGTTCACAATGCCTAGCCACCCTGGGTACAGAGGCCACCCTTTGGTTTTGGAACCTAACTACTGAACTCTGACATTTGCCTATCAGAGGAAAAAGAGTTTTCTGATGACCAATATCAATACCCCCTTTATATATCAGCAAAAATTTGCTCCCAGAAACAGTAATCACACAGTAGCACTGCATTATAGCCTAATAATTTTTTGTTTTAAAACTCATGCTTTGCTGCCAAAGTTGCAATTTATCAAGAGGTGTACAACATGAACCTTTGACTTCAGGGTATGGTTCAGCCACACTTCCTAAGAAGGACTTGTGCTGCTTCATAGCACTGTCACTTTAACTATGCAAAGTGTAAAATTTGGGTTTGCAGGACATCTAGCCTTTGTGCTATGCTTGACAATGACATTGATCAGTGTCTAATCTAAGCAATTTTATGGAGACCATTGGCATTTCTTGACTTATAAGAGTAAAGCAAGAAAGGAAAAAGCAAATACAAACTTGAATTTACTATTACATTTTCATCTTCACATGAAACATTTAATGATAAGAGTGTAACTTAATGTTCCCATATGTTTAAATGTACCTCTAAACTCTAATTACCTTAAAAGAAGGGGTTTTCTCTCTGTCAATGGTACGATGTACGTACACATGTCCATCGGCATCATCTTTTATAGAAAACAACCCAAACTCTGGAGCCTCATCCACACCAGCTCCACTGATTGAATATATTAAGGATATATTAAATGCCATATTGTTGAACAGCTACAAAAGAAATGGAACATTAGAGAAAAGCTAATTATCATAGGATTAAGTTTCGACACCAGGATTAGAAGCTTTTAAAGAGACATTGTCAAAAAATCAGAACATATTGATTTGGTACATTGCTGTAGTCATGGTTATATTACTCTACACTCTTGGGCTATGTCTATGCTGCACAGTTATTTTGGAATAAGCTATTCCAGAATAGTTATTCTGAAAGTTTATTTCAAAATAGCATGTCTACACTGCAGAGAAGCCTCTAAATCAGTCTGAGGCAGGCTTCTCTAGTGTAGACGTGCTATCTTGATTTAGAGCCCCAGGAAGAATAAACTTAGAATTGTCCTGGTGAGGGGCTATTTTGAAATAGCAGAAGTGGAGCGTCTACACACGCCTTATTTCGAAATAGCTATTTCAGAATAGGCATTATTCTTCATAGAATGAAATTTACAGAAGTCAGAATAAACCATCTGTTCTTTCGAAATTATTTCAAAATAACGGAATTGCTGTGTAAACGCTCACATAGTTATTTCAGAATAACGGCTGTTATTCCGAAATAACTTTGCTGGGTAGACACATACACAGAGATTAAATGCCATAGGATGTTTTTAGCAACTATAGGTTGAACCTCTCTAGTCTGGCACTTGAACCAGAGTTTGCCGGACCATGAGAGATCAGTATTGTTTAGCAGCATTACCAATACTTTCACTGTTTACTGGGCTCTTCAAAGACATTTAGGGGTAAATTAGAGCTAAATAACAGCACAGAACACAGAGAGCCAGGACTAATGGCTTAAACAAACTTTATGGGACCACAGAAAATATGGCCACACTTATGATAAATGGGCACCTAGCTAACTAAAATCATGTCGGACCACAGATGTTGCCAGATCAGAGAGTTCCAGACTAGAGAGGTTCAATCTGCAGTTAATTCAAATTGTGAACCAATTTTTTATATAAAGCCATTTTTACCTGAAGCGTGAGAGCTTCATAATAGTGATAGAGCCACTATAATTAAGAGTTTGAGCCACATTCTATTGAAATTAATTGAAAGCCAGTTGGATTAGATCCTAATGTATTAAGCACATGGACAAACTGCTAAAATAAAGAGCAACAACTTCCCAAGTGCAGATAATCTGGACCTAAGAGTTCTGAAGGAACTTAAGAACAAAGGGTGTGAGATGTTACCAAAAATCTAGTGTCTGCTCAAAATCAGCAATTTTCAAAAAGCCTTTGACGAAATCTCTTTAAGAGGTTAAGCAGACTAAGTAGCTATGGAGTGAGAAACAAAGTACTGGCATCAATTAGAAATATTTTTTTAAAAAAGACAAAAAGGTTAATTAAATAAGGTACAAAGAAAAAAAACTTTTGTTTTCTATTGGACTTTCTCCTCCATATAAACTCTAATGTACTGAACACTAGTTCATAGGAAGAAACAATTCCTATGGATGTTTTTTCCTGAGTTGCCCACTACAGGGTTTCTTCCCTTCCTCTGGAGCTACTGGGGCTGATCACTGTCAGGGAAGGAATACTGGCCTAGATGGACCACTAGTCCAACCTGCTATGGCAATTCTTATATTTCTGTCTGATGTGGTATGTCAGGAAGGTACCAGTCACTCAAATGAGGATCCATCTTGTTCCACAGTGGAAGAGTGGCAGCCTCTCTACCCCATTATATTGGTGGCTCCACTCTGTGATTTCTCCACATTTAATAAAGTATTCTATATGGGAAAGGAGGAATGTCCTTGCTAAAAGCTTTTGTTTTACCTCTCCAGCAAGTTTGGGGAATGGTCCTTTGTCCTCCTCTTCAAGTTCAATGGTGGTTATAACCCATCTCCTTTTTGTGCGCCTTAGAGGACGAAGACTGTCTGACTGATAAAGATCCAGCCCCTGTTGGTATAACAACATATTCAGGTCACAAAAGTGGGAGGTAACTCTCCCAATAAATTGTGAACTTCAGATTTTGCTTCCATGATTAAACTTCTTTATAATGTAAGAGGTCTAAGTATAACCCTAATATCATGAAAGTTCAACATAATTGGGATTAGAACTTGGAATTTCCTGATTCCCAGTCCTAAGTGGGGTTCAATAGACAAAAGGGAAGAAAATGACTGATCAAATGTTATACCTATCTATTGTCTAATACTTCTTCCAATAGGGAGACTTTTACCACAAACACATATAGTAGCAGGTGCAGACATAAGAATAAATCTGACTCTAAGGGTATGTCTACACTACAGAGTTTTGTCGGCAAAACATCTGTTTTGCCAACAAAACTTGAGGAACATCCACACTGCAATTGCATTCTTCCACAAGAAAATCGAAAGAACAGAGGGGTTTTTCTGGCACTGGCAATATTCATTCTATGAGAAAGAAACCTTTTTGCGAAAGGCGTGTGTGGACGGGGAAGAGGGAGTTCTTTCGGAAGAAGAGGAAAGAGGAAAAAACACAGGTGCCGTGGTGGTCGTGCCGTCCACAGCAATCACTGCTTATATGTGAGAGACCGTCCATTCAGTCTGGATGCTCTCTTTCAAAAAAACAGATCGCTTTTTCGATGTACTTTTGCAGCGTGGATGCTCTCTTTCGGAAGACGTTTTTTCAGAAGATTTCTTCCGAAAAAAGCCTCTTCCGAAAGAAGCCTGTAGTCTAGACATAACCTTAGATACAAAGGGTGAAGGTACATGATGGAAATTCTTTTGCAAATAGGCCACTCTTCCCTTTGACTTCTCACGCATAAACGATTCATTGAAGTGTGCGCCCTGATCTTTAAATAAAGTAACTAATTTTTGTCTGTATTTTCACATTATGGTGATTTCTTGCAAGCCAAGACTAGCCAATGAAAATTCTAAAAAAATACGTATCACTCCAATTTTAAATTTATTTTTTATTAAGGAAATTAGTAGATTAACAAACCTTGCCGCTTGTCTGATGGGTTGTCTTTTTTAGACTGACACTGTTCTGTTCATGAGAGGAGTTGCTGGCAACAGTAATCTTATAAAACAAAATAACATTAATTGGGGGGGTGACTTACTATAAGATCTCAGAGTGACTTATTTAATATTGTACTTACCCAACAGAAAGTACATTGTCTTTTCAGAACCCTTCCTCCCTCCCCCCCCAAAAAAAAGGAACCAAAAGATACCTGACTCTCAGAAGAGTTCTGCTCAGGCACTTCCCAAATTGTAAAATTTAAAACCGAGATGGATTTACAATGGAATAGGTGTCTTTATCGCTCCAGAACTTACTCAAAGTTTCTAGTATCATAAATACTAGGCTATACTAATGTCCTGGTATACAGACCCACCATATTATTGGTACTTAACATAGAAGGATAATTACCACACAACAGGATACTCTTTTGCAAGTAAGTGGTCAATTATTTTCTGCTTTAAGAGTAAGCTCATTGACTTTTATGACTTTTTGCTCTCCTTCTATTAATGTCAGTAGCATTGGGAGAAAAAACAGGCCAGTCGAGATTTTCAATGGAATCAAGAGCCCAACATCCATGGAATTTGTTATCTAACTCCATTGGGCTCCTTTTCAAATTAAAGGAAAGAAGTTCTACAAAACATGTTTCACAGCTGTAGCAGGATAAAAAGATTTTCTATTTTGAGCTTTTTGAACTTACAAGTGGGCTTACATTTTCAAAGCTGAGACTTAGGCTCCATTTACCAGATGTAATCTATACCTACAAAACTGAAATTTTTAACTTTCTGTCTGCAAAACTATTTGCAGAGGGAGTCAAATCTGCTAAACTACTTGATTTGCAACTGCAGTGTAATTGTGGATCAAATGTTGTGAGTGCAGTTTAAGGATGTTAACTATTGGGGCTCTTGTACATTTCAAATGAGGAATGCGGAACTCTGCATGCAGCCCAGTGCCAGCAGGAAGTCCCATTGATGCCGGGCTGCATGCGGGTGCTAGCTTTGAAATGCACTCAGAGTCCCCTGCTGACCCTGGGCTCCATGGTGAGTTGCCGCTTTGAAATGCCACACTGGAGCCGGGGTCAGCTGGGGACTTCCCAGCTGATCCTAGGCTCCAGTGACGCATTTCTGTGGAACCCAGGATCAGCTGGGGAATCCCCAGATGACCCCAGGCTCTACACATGGAGCACCGCACAGCTGGTCCTGGGATCAGCTATGCGGCGCGACCCCTTTGAAACTCCAAGGCAGCTGGGGACTACCCAGCTGACCCCAGACTCCACACACACTGTGCTGCACAGCTGATCCTGGGCTCAGCTGTGCTGCACTCCTGCTTTCAAGTACCCCCTTTCCCCTCCTTTGCTGCCTCTATCTGATAGAGGCAGCAAGGGGAGAGAGCAGGAAATTGACTAGTCGACTGATTATCTGATAAGCAGTTGCTTATCGGATAGTCAACTAGTCTTTAAGATCACTAGCGCACTTTATGACCAGAAAAGAAAGTCCAGCCTTTTGAGCGTTTTCTGTCTCTATATTATGTAAAATTATGAAAGGATATTATGCAGAACTACTTAGCTGCAAACACAAAACAAGCTTTTCCATGGAAGATCAAATCAATGTCATTTATTGTAAAGGGCACAGTCAGTACAAAAAACAACTTTATTGTGACTGATATTAATCAGGTCATTCCAAGGACTTTACCCATTTCCTTAAATAACAAACAAAAGCGTGAACTGCGTGTCAGCTGTATCTGGGTTTAAAGAACAATATTATTATCCCTTTTATGGCATGTTATCAAGTTATCTGGTCTTCCCCTAGGGAGAATAGGATTGATTCTGTATGTATACATTCTAGAGCTGCATGTATTAATTTTAGGTGTCTGCCAAGGCTATATTGTGACATGCATTATTACTTGCAAGTGCTGTTTATTAACTGGTTGAAAAATACAGCCCATAGGATGGGGCTTCAACTATCATTCCAAGGCATGTGTCCATGCTGATAACACGTTCTAATTGATAATGATCTAAAGCTGAGCAGACTGACTCATGTCCATTTTCATCATCGGAGTGATTTTCTTTTTTGGTGTTTGGGCTCTGTAGTTTCCATGCTGGGGTGTTGCTCTTTTAAGACTTCGAACAGCATGCTCCACACCTCATCCCTCTCAGATTTTAGAAAGCACTTCAGATTCTTAAGCCTTGGGTTGAGTGCTGTAGCTATTTTTAGAAATCCCACATTGGTACCTTCTTTTCATTTGTTAACTCTGCTGTGAAAATGGGTTTTGTTGTTGTTTTTTTAAATACAAAGAATGTATCTTGGTCATCATCCAAGACTGCTATGTCATGTAACATATGACAGAATACAGGTAAAACAGAACAGGAGACATACAGCTCTCCACAAAGGAAATAAGTCACAAATTTAATTAATGTATTATTTTTTTAAAGCGTATCATTAGCATGGAAGCATGTCCTCTGGAATGATGACCAAAGCCTGAAGAGGCATACAAATGTTTAGCATAAGTGGCATGTACCCAAACCTGTTTGAGCAATTGTCTGAACAAGGAGGACTAAGTGGACTGTAGACTCTAAAGTTTTACATTGTTTTATTTTGAATGCAAGATTTTTTGGACATAATTCTACATTTGTAAATTCCAGTTCCATGATTAAGAGATTGCACTACAATACTTGTGTTAGATTAACTGAAAAATACTATTTATTTTCTCATTTTATAGTGCAAATATTTGTAACAGAAAATAATACAAAGTGAGCACTCTATGCCTTGTATTCTGTATTGTAACAAATCAATAGATTTGAAAATGTAAAAATAAATAAAAAATATTTAATAAATTTGAATTGGCATTCTATTGTTGAACAGTGTGATTAACCACATTTTTTAAAAAAATTGTGGTAGTTATTTTTTTTAGTTAATCGCATGAGTTAAATGCAGTTAATTGGCAGCTCTAATCCTTTTATATATTTGAAGACTTAATGCAGAGACAGACACATTAAGAGCTATTATAAACAAAACTAACACCCGCTGGGGTCTCTCCCTTCTTTGCAGTGCTGATGCATGTATCTGAAGAGACAGCATATATGCAAAATTGGTAATGTATTATTAAATGCAAAATTTAAAATAACAGGAATTTGCATGAGTGAGAATGGATTATCTCATACTTGTAAGACTGTTTTTAACTAATGCTCTAGCTCACAGGGAGAACTTGGGTTGAGGAAATTAAACTCCTATCAAGACAATTAGGTAGAATTTCTGTTTGTTGAAGGAAAGTACTTGAAAAGCTAGAAACTGTATTTGTCACTTCTGGGCTCTAGAGTGGAAATAACCATTTCTTGTTTTCCTTTGGGATAATGCACAGTTATTTAACCAAGAGATTATTTATCCCATCAGTAGAGTGATAGAGCAATGCAATGTTATTGATATTAACTGGGGCATGACAAATTCGACATAAGGTAAACCTGTTGTTCTGTGTTATCAGGGACAAGTCTAAGATAGTTTTCCAAATGCTCTCATTCTTCAGGAATTCCCCCCCTTCCCCTCTCTTGCAGTCATTTAAGTAAGTTTCACCAGCCTTACACAGAAGCATAATTATTGAACCCAGAAGAAAACAGTAAATGTTGCTATGTATTATGGGCCCGCATTTACCAGAAAGTGATTGAACAAATGTGTATGTTAGGCACTGAAATGAATAGAAATTTCACCACTGGTTGAAAGAGCAGCAGGAACAGGCCCATAACTAGCATCAAAATTGACAAGACAGTATAACAGTGCCGCATGATTAACATGCAATTGTCATAATAAATAATTTGACACACACATTAGATACACAAATTGGGTGACAGAATATTTTTATTGGACCAACTCAACAAAAGAAATCAGTCCATTAAAAGATATTACCTCACACATCTTGTCTCTCATATCCTGTGACCTACACAGCTACACCTACACTTGACATCCAAATAATTAATTAGATATACATTTCAATATGATGGGGACTAATTTGGCTCCAACTACTCAAGAGAGAGATCTTGCAGTCATTGTGGATAGTTCTCTGAAAAAATCCACTTAGTGTGCGGCGGCAGTCAAAAAAGCAAATAGAATGTTAGGAATCATTAAAAATGGAATAGAGAATAAAACGAAAAATATCTTATTGCCTCTATGTAAAACCATGGTATGCCCACATCTTGCATACTGCGTACAAATGTGGTTGCCTCGTCTCAAAAAAGATACATTGGCATTGGAAAAGGTTCAGAAAAGGGCTGTGAAAGGAAGGTATTGAGGCCTATCCAGAATATGTCAAATGAGCACCAGTTTAATTGTAAGTGTAAAGGAAAGGCAGCATTGTGAGATACAGGAGATAAAAATAAAAACAAAATTTGATTGGATGACCAACAATAACCCTGTTTTTAGGGAAGTAAGTAACTCAGACAGCAGTGTGCAACAAAGTGCTGATTACCCCAAATGGAGCAGACGAAAGTTTTTGTAAGGGCAGAATGAGACAACAAAAATCTAATGTCAGCAATTGTCAGGCGAGTGGAGGACTACCAAAATACCGAAACAGAGTATATAAGGTTGGCTGAAACAGAACAAGAGTGGACGGGTTGTGAATCCAACCCCCCCGGCGCTGAATCTCGCTGCCGTACATAAGCTCCGAAAGGGGAACAAATAAGCTCCGAAAAGGGAACGAATACCGGTCGTAAGTTGCAACGAAAAATCCAAAGAAAGGAAAAACATAAAGAAAAGAATATCTCCTGAATCTAAGCAATGCTTCTATCTTTCTTAACGTGAGTATTATATATTTGTTAACTCCATAAATTGTTTAAAGGTAAATTAGGAGGGTATATCCGTAGGAGAAGTTATTTCTTGTTTGTTTTTTAACAGTACTGTTTTTCTACTTTTTCTTTGTATATTATATTGTCTTAATAGAATAAAAAATAGTGAATTGATTTAAATGGAAAATTAATTATAAAGTAAATAGAAAAAATAAAAAAATCTTTGTTTGACCCTAAAAAGAGGTATTCCTCTGTCTGTGGTTTCAAATCCTTTAAAGAACCAAACCCGGTT